GCATAGAACGAGCAATGACCTCTTGTAGGTATGTACACACATAATCATCAAACACGTACACTCGTCCTATCCGTTTTCAATAAAATCACTTCGGATCAGGCGAATACATCTCGAAAATTTGCCTTTCTGTGGCTGTCATCCTAATCAGGGTTGAATCATAGATATCGTTGTCCTGTTCTTGGAAATATTGCGTCATGAACGTAGGTACTCAGCAATTGTTTAGACAAGTGTTATCACGAGTTTCACGAGAAATGGAATTTTCTATCTGAAGGAGTGTATGGGCATATACACGAATATACAAAAAGTAAGACTCTACCAATTGATCTATTTGTATAAATTGGATTTCGCACATAAAAACACTCACATAATTTGATTTTTATTTTTTAATCAAAATCAGTATTATATGCGATTGATGATTTGATATTTCCGACACCTATACCATAACAAATAAAACTGACATCATGTTTAATGAGTCAAGACATGTCATTTGATGTTTATTTGAAATTATGTACGTGTTGGCATGTGCGAAATATAATTAATATAAACAGATCAATTGAAAAAACAAATGAAAAAGAAACTACGTCGCTCGAACCGAGCCCACAAATTGCAAATTCTGTACTCTACTGTCACTCCGTCACTGCTTCTATTTATACGCTCGTCCAGATAATAAACACAGTTATCATAAAGCTTGAATAACACTCATCTAAAAAACTATCGACCATCTACGCTTATGATGCTATATTTTCATAAACAACACAGTATCCAAAAATGTGCAACATTTAATAAATCAGCGATCCGTAATCTTCGCACTGTCCTTGTAATAGCAGATGTTTTGCTATCTTGACGGCCATTCCGTCCGTTTAATACAGAAACGACGAAATTCGAATTTAAGAAAAAATGAATTGTGTCGAACAAAACTGCATGCAGCATTCGAACCAATCGAAAATTATACTTTTAGCCGTTTTCAACGTACCCTTTAATAACGTTGACGATACGATGTATTCGTAACTGGCACAGGACTCCTCTTTTCGTTTAAAAGTCGGAAAGTACTCGAAGATGATGAATTTCGATCAGGATGTATTCCATTACCAGAAATGAACACGTCACTAGAAATTACTCTGTGGCGTCCAGTTCACATCAGTCTTCTGACGTGCAAGTTACCCATTCGCCTCGCTCGCGCAAGAAGGCACTCGTTCTTAGGGACTTTTTAAGCTGTGCACCCTGCATCGTTTCCGGTCATCAGCAACAGCCTCTACAGATGGTAACACTGTAACCGGTAATGTAACCGATTTTCTTTTGATCGCAAGTAAGGACATTTCGGTGCTCAATTTCTTACACGCCAATCATCGAGCTGTACGCACGCATTGGTCTATTCACCCTCACCCCATTCGTTGCGGCGACCGCGTACTTCGTTATTTCAAATGATCTCTGAGAGATCTCTTTCATCTTCTTCTATCCTATTTTCGATACTAATTTGCTATTCGTTAATACGGTAACACGTAACCAATTAAAACTATGACCAAAATCCCTAGTGAGAGATCCCCTCCTACCAGTGAAGCCAGGAAATGACGAAACAGTCTTTTTTCCCCGCCCCACCATATTTCTTTCCGTACCATCTTACTCATCAGCGGGAATCCTCAAACAATCTCCGTAATTCCCCGATCTGGTCGCACTGCCTCTTGCCGTTATCGGATCCGCCCCGTAAATAACGCGGGGAATATCTACTCGTTCCGCTTTCTCATTGCCATCTTAATTTCTTTAAGTGCCTGGAATACCCTTCTTAATTGTAATGGTTTGGAAATATACTTCAGACTTCTCGCTTGCACAAACTGTAGTTACTCTCTTCTTCGTCTTGCACAAGATTTTTGCATGGTGTCGTTTGCGCGCGATATTGCTAATTAGAAGCACATAAACCGGACACTACTTAGGGAACTAAAAGTATACAGAGAAAAAGAAATGGTTTGTCGATCAGTCAAATTTACATTTACATTAATGCTCGCTTAAATTTGTTAATTTCGGGACCCGAGATTAATATGCTCGCGAGCAGAATGGCGTTCTTCTTTCAGGAATTAACTGGAGCACAGTTTGACTTGACGAGCAACAGTCGGAGGAATATAATAAGGAGAAGCAAGATAGATACAGTATGTCAAGCATCGATGGTTGAGATTTAACAATTTAAAGGGGTACTGCGAATGTAAAACATCCAACAAAGGAAATATCAATTTCAGTAATTTCAATATTACCATCTCAAGCAAAGTGTCGCTGAATTGTTCTGATTAAAATGAGTCCAAATACGATATAAAATCGGAGTAGTTTTACCGACTTAAATATATAGATTTCGATAATGTTCATTATATAATAGGTCGTTAACGTGTACTCGCATACCATTAATATTATTAATTGAAAATTCACATAACTGAAAATTGATATAGGTAGATACAAATTGTATAAGTAGTTTATTTTTTTATTTAGATTTTAATCAATAATATAGTTATGTATTTCGTAAAAATCGTTTTTGAGTTAAATCTATATTGAAAGGCACATGACAATGTATTATGGAAGACTGTTAATAATTTTTTAAAATCATTAACTACATTCATTATCATTTATTATAATATGCGTTTGTACCACGAAAAAATGTATAGTTAAAATATAATAAGAAAATATCTCTATATTAATATAAAAAATACTCTCGAACAATAAAATGGTTGTAAAAATATTCATACCATTTCCAGTCTTTACTGATAACAGTATTTTTATATAAAATCTAATTCTAAAATTTCTACTAATTGTCGTTTTTTTAAAAAACTACATTCTTGCAGAATAGTTTAATATAAATAATTTTAACTCTCTATAATAGCGCAAGAAAATAAATGCAGATGTGCATTTATACTTTTAAACAAAAAACATTGGAGAATTTTTCATTTTTGGAGTTAACTTTTTTCGTTCCTCTTCTTGTAAGTCGTCTAGATTTATATGTTCACTAAAATGATATAGATTATAGATATGTAACAGGTATGAACAATGATACATTGAACTACACATAAAACTGAAATACTTACTTATGTATCCATGCTCTAGCCCTATATGCAGCTAAATGAGCATAATAGGTGGGTGCAGGATAGCTGACAGATCTTGTACACCTTGCAAACAAATGACAAAGATAATATGTCAATTGCTCAATTTCATCTTCTGTCATCCCAATTTCGTTGCAGATACATCTATACTTCGTAGGCCTTGCAGTGCCCTACAAAAGTTTGTTGCACTTATCAATACTTTAATATGTTCTCTATATATATGATAGGAATAAATTATCGTAGTATAAGTTGTGTATTTTTTAAAATATTGAGGAATATTAACACATACTTGAATGCTAGCATGAGATACAAGGTAGAAATCAATATGTCTTGGATGTGTGATATCTGTATCAACAATGGTACCAGCTTGCACATTAAAATTCCTGTCGTCCGAATTGGCTTTGTTAGTCGGAAAGAGACGTATGTGGTGTCTCTTTTGAACCACAAGAAACGTTATTGGAATTTTATAAGTTCCATTTCCCAATTTCGAGATAGCCCTTTTTATAGCAGATATTTCTCTATGCATTACTTGGGGAAAGTGTCCTTCACCCACGCCATCTCTGTGGATATGCAAAAATAAAATAACCCAATTGTCTATGTACTAAAACTTACATTTCTTAGATAATATTTACCGATAAAAAATGATTTTGTCTGGTATTTCACCTACATTGGTGTGATAGAGCTCTAACTGCTTCAACATTATGTTTTCAAGATCGAGAATTATTTCCTCTTTCGGTGGCTGGAGTCTTAATTCAACATCATATTGGAAAGTATTTGATTGACTCGAAACAACCTAAGTAGCAGAAATATTATATATGATAGGACAAAAAGGCAATGAGATATAATTATTACCGCAGCTATTGAAGGTGTATTTTTAGCATCAGGGGATGGATGAGTCACATCCGCACCTACTAACATGGATGGGGTATCTAAGCAACGTGGTCTGAAACATCATTTTATATGCATATTTAATATTTATAAAAGAGAAATTTATAAAATCATCATTAGAAACAGATAATATTACCGCTGATAAAATAGATGGTTAATACCATTAAGTTTTGAGTTAATCTTCAATAAAATATTTGTAATTGTCGTATCAGTCAGATTTTCTATTGTTCTTAACTTTATGCATTGAGTTACTATACCCCCTATTATCAATTCAGAGGACTTCTTCACCAAACCTGACATGTTAAATAATTGTTTACTGATACTACTTTCATTTTAAGTGGATTACAATTGAACTACTTACTGTATGCATATATATTTGGAATTACTACCATAACAAGTCTTATTCCTTGGTTCTTCTTTCTGGCCAAAAAATTTAATACTTCATCATTTATTTTACTGCTCCTAGAGAGATCGCAGATAGGAAATAACATTTTTCCAAGTGACATATTGACCTTTGCAGCTAAAAAATAATTATAAAGAAATACTAAAAGTAGTATTTTTACAACATTCTATAAAATTTTGAATATTGCGTAAATTTTAATTCATTAATAATAGTAAAAAATCATGGGAAACTATCATCCTGAACCTTCCGACCTCCGTCGCAATTAATAACAGAAAAGAATCATGTACTGACCACATTCTTGGAATCTTTTACAAAAACCATTCTGTAATTCTCTGATACTTGTTTTGGCGTCTAAGTTCAAAATAGTCCATTCATTGTCTTTTAAACTGCTCGGGTGTAAAAATTTTTCAGCTTGCCATACTCCTTTTGTCACACATACTGGCTCTTGTCTAGCATATTTTAATTTAGGAGCTTCGAGGACTCTGGCTGATATTTTTTCAAATTCTGGTAACACAGACAGGTTAAATTCCTTCATCAGAGTCGGTTGTTCATTTATATTTATCTGTTGCAGCTAAAAACATATTCGTGAAAACAGAGATAAGCATCAGGTATGTAGATTTGTAAACTTTCGTGCTGATAGAGAATTGGCACCCGAGACAGTACAAGGGCAGAAGAGGTCTTAAGATGTATATTTTGATTACAATATTGATCGATTTTGTGTGCCTAGTATGAATTTGGATTGCTTTTAGGTGCCTTTTTTCTATTAACACGTAATACTTTTAAC